GCCTCTCCCAGCTTGCAGGCCCAGACAAGCAGTCTTCAGTGGTTTACTCCATATAAATGGCCTGTCTTGGCCATTGCTGCAGACTTTTCTAAAATATCTCAAAGGCTCACAAAACCCAAAGAAACAGCATCTGGCCTCAATGTGTCCCACACCTCTTGATGAACAGTCCCATGCCTGTCAATAGTGGCCACCGGCCTTGGTTCATGGCTTGGCTTCTCAAGGTACCTCCAAGCACAACACAGGAGTCAGCTATCTGCATTGGGTGCATTTATGTTTAATAGAGTTATGTCCTTTTGATGTATTGATTCCTTTATCATTATGTAATGTCCTTCTTTGTCTTTTACTATAGCCTTTGTTTTAGATTATCTTTTGACTAATAAGTATTACTATCTCAGCTTTCAGTCTGTGGGTGTCACTTGATCTGAAGTAGGTCTTTTGCAGCTAGCATATACATGGATCTTGTTTTCTTTTCCATTCAGCTACCATATGTCTTTTGATTGGAGCATTTAGTTTATTTACATTTAAAGCAATTATTAATAGGTACATAGTTATTGCCATTTTATTATTTGTATTTTTTATCCCTTCTTTTTTTTTTTTTACAGAAATCCTTTTAACATTTCTTTTAATATTGGCTTCTTGGTGATGAATTCATTAAGCTTTTTGCTGTCCTAGAAGCTCTATATCTCACCTTCCATTTTAATTGAAAGCCTTGATGAGTAGAGTGTTCATGGTTGTAGATTCTTTTTTTTTCTTTTTTTCTTTTTTTTCATAGCTTTAAATATTTCTTGCCAGTCCTTTCTGGCTTGCAAAATTTTTGTTGAAAAATGAGCAGACATTCTTATGGGGGTGCCCTTGTAAGTAACTAGCTGCTTTTCTCTTGCTGCTTTTAAGATTCTTTCTTTGTCTTTGACCATTGGCATTTTAATTATGATGTATCTTGGTAAGGGTCTGTTTGAATTCCTCTTGTTTGGGACTCTTTGTGCTTCCTGAACTTGTATGTCTAATTCCTTTGCCAGGTTAGGAAAGTTTTCTGTCATTATTTCTTCAAATAGATTCTCAATCTCTTGCTCTCTGTCTTCTCCCTCTGTTACTCATATGACGCACATATTGTTATGCTTCATGTTGTCCCAGAGGTCTCTTAAACTATCCTCATTTTTAAAAAAAAAATATTTTTTTATTTTTGCTGTTCCAATTGGGTGTTTTCTGCTACCTTGTTTCTAGTTCAGTGATTAAGTTTTATTCTTTGTCCAATCTACTTTTGAATCCTTCTAGTGTATTCTTCATTTCAGTTATTGTATTCTTCATTTCTGTCTGGTTCATTTTTATGGGTTCTATGTACTTTTTTATGATTATTATCTCTCTGTTGAGGTTCTCATTGACCTCATACATTCTCCCCCTAAGTTCATTGAGTATCCTTAACCAATATTTTAAACCCTGTCTCTGATAGGTTGCTTGCCTCCATTTCATTTAGCTTATTTTCTGGAGTTTTCTCCTGTTGTTTCATTTGTGGCATGTTTCTTTGTTTTCTCATTTTATTAGCCTCTCTGTGTTCATTTCTGTAGTATGGTTTGTTTCCTCTCTCAGCTTTGGTCAGATAGCTTTGTGTGGAAGGGGTCTTGTGTGGCCCAGGCACACTCTCCATAATCACTTGTGCCATGGACTCTGGACGTGATCTTTGTGCAGGTTATGTGTGATACTCTGTTGGGCTAAGGCTTTATTGGTGTTAGTAGCTCAGTGGATGGGATTAACTCTTGGACTGACTAATTGTGGGAACTGGCCCTGCCCGAAAGGTATGAGTTGCTATATGGGGGCTGACCACACTGAGTAGGATTTGTCCGAGCAGGGTTGTGCACTTTTTGAGACCACTCTTTGTGTGTACCACTTATGGGGCAAGTCAGGAATTGCTCTGTTGTGGTCTAGTGCCACCCTCTGGACGTATTGGTTCTGTGGCCCCTTTGAAGGGGCTCCCCAGTTGGCCAATGTCAGTGATGGCCTTTGATTGCTCAGGGCTACCTGTTAAGAGCTACCAAGTGATCTGCAGATGGTTGCTGCCTATGCTAGATATATATGTATGCGGGAAAGACAACGCTGTAGGACACAGTTCGGTTACCTCCAGTTCTGGGCCTAGGGCAGTTTAGCAGAAGGAGCAGTGCTACTCAAGGTCTTAGAGTGCCTGTCAGTTGCCCGTGAGACTTTGCAACTGGAAGAGCCTCTGAGCGAGGAGACCTAAGGAGTCACCTGGGTCAATTTAAATGCCAGTGCTGTCTCTGTGTCTCCCTAAACATGTCTCAGTTTGCAGCAAGGCCACTTCTGACCTGCAAACACCCGAGATCTGTTCAAGAATTACTGAAGCTCCTGGTCATGGGTTTGTGGTCTACCATCGAGAGCTTCTCCCAGATGCATGGTTTTTGCATGTGACACCTACATTGAGCGCTGTTATTTGGTTTGAATTCATGTCCAAAGGAAAGCACAGGGAGTGCCTAGGTTGCCTGGGAACAGCCTTGCCACTGGTAATTTGTGGGTTAGGTGGGGTGGTGTCTCAACGAGACACAAAGCTGTCAAGCCTATATGGCACCAGCTTTGCTGCCAACAATGTGACTTTGGGCTCTCACAAAAGTCACATATCACTGCGAGGCCTACTGCCATTTGGGGTGGGCCCACTAACCCCTGTGATTTGCCCAAGCTGTATTGTATCTCATGCTAGCAGGAGTGATCTGCTCTTTACTGTTTCCCCTGAAATTTGCTTACTGTGATATCTGACATCTGTTACTTACACAGAATACGCAGCTACGGATTGGAGTAGGGCAGTGGCAACTGCCTGTCACCATGCTGCAAGCACTTTTTGGCTTGGGTGAAGCGAGATCTCAGGGAGCCAAAGGCCATCAGGCCAGTACAGCTTCAGTTTTGCTGCAATTTCTGTGCCTGCACTTTCCTGCTGTAGTCACAGATCACAGTGAGATCAGCTGCTGTCTGGGGCGGTCTTATAGGCCCTTGTGATCCCCTCCAAGAGATATTGCAGCTTGTGGAGGCAGCAGGGGTTTATCTGCAGCCGATTTCCCTGAAATGTGCTCACTGCACTAGCCAAGGTCTATTGACTGAGAAAAATGCACAACCCTGGAAAAGGGGCAGGGCAGAGGGCGCTGCCTGTCAAAAGGCTTTAGTGGACAATTTGTGGGTTGGGTGAACAGGAATCTTAGGGAAATCATCCCAATACAGCTTCAGTCTTGTTTCAACTCCTTTGTCTGCCCATGTGTTCCCACAAAAGTCACAGATCACAGTAAGACCAGTTGCTGTCTGGAACTGGCCCATAACTCCCCGCAATCTGCCCAGGCTCATGTTGGCAGCATGAAAATGTCCCCAAAATGCACTAACAGTGCTGGTTGAGGTCTGCTGCCTGTGAGGAAAGTTTGGTTCTGGAGAGGGTCAGGGAATTGTCAGCAGCCAACAACAAGCTTCCCCAGGCAATATGCAGGTTGGGTGGGGTGGGTTTGATCTCCTCAGGCCAGTGTAGCTTCAGAATTGGCTGTGTTGGGGGAGGGATCTGCACAGGCCAGCTGGCACTGTCGATTTGTAGACTGCCCTGTAGGGGGGCCTTGACTAAGGCACAATGGACTTCCTGTGCATCCCTTGTTCCGGCACCAGGTAATGCAGTCTTTCCTCATATGAATCTTGCCTGAGCCTCCATTCCACCATCAGTGCCCTCGTGAGTGCAAGCTAGAGAGGCTATGTGTGGGCCCTTTAATGGGATGTGTGGGATTTCAGTCTCTTTCTGCCTCACCTAGACAGCTAGAATCCTGTCTGATTTTTACAGTCAATTTTTTTGGGAACTCCTCTGGTGAGGAGGAGTTCCCAAAAAAATTGGGCTGGTGAGTTCCCTTATGGAGCTAGGATCCCCTTCTCCTTCAGGAGGGCCTCTACAGCCTCACTCTCCCTCCAGTGCTCCACCACCACACATGTGTGAGGGTCCAGCTCAAATTGCGACTTTGTCCCTCCTACTGGCTTCAATGTGGCTCCTTCTTTATATTAGCAAATGTATGAGTTATGATCTGCTGGACTTCAGGTGATTCTCCATGTTGATTATTTTTTATTTTTTGTTTGTAATTTTAATGCTTACCTGAGAGGATGCAAACCCTGTTTATGCCTAATCTGCCATCTTGACCCCCTCCTGGAAATCCCAATCAACCTTTATCTCTTGACTCCCTCTTTGGAATCAACCTAGGCACAGTTGCAAAGAAGTGAAGTATTCTTGCTTTTATCTCAGGGTACCGAATTCATGCCAGTATCACTTAGGCTCATCCAGCATCAAGAAGGTATACACGTTGAAAGAAAAGGCCAATGTATTTTGTCATACCTGGCTCCAGGTTTAGAGGAACAGAGCAACTTAGTATAATGCCCTGATGATTGCAAAGATATTGAAAGCCATTTAGGATAGAGTAAGTTAAGGTGATCATACCACACTGCATAAGTGAATAGCGAGTAGTAAGAGAGTATTAGTAAGGCTCATTTTGGAAACAGGAAAGTGTAATACGAGGCCCATAATTATTGATGCTCAATACATACCTCCTGAATGTGAAGTGGCCACTATCTATCGGAGGTAAAACTATCAACAAGGTAGACATGGTCCTTTCTGTTCTTGGGGAGTTTAGAGTCTGGTGGGAATAAGGTACTAATGATACCTATAGCAAGGAAAGTATGTGAGCCATCCAAGTCCCTACTCAGGTTAAGGAAGATAAGATAATTTGAGAGCAGAGTTATTCTGCTCATGAGTAATCAATAATAGCATTTTAATATTATTTTTGATGTTTACACCTCTTAATTGTCTTTCCTCTGGCGTTGTAGTATTTGAGTGCATGCAGAATTAATTAGAAGAGTGATATTTTCTGGTCGTGTTTGTGAATTTATTTTACAGAATAAAAATTCATTTTCAAAGAAAATGAAGCAAAGTGCTATATTTTCCCCTCAAAAGATGCAGGGGGGAAAATGGCATATGCTATAATAGCCAACATTTAATAAATTTAATAAATTAATAGGAAGTATCACAAAAACTTGGAGTGGATAACATACAGGAATCAGGAATAAGACAACTCTTTGCCAAGAAAGTACCATATAATGAAGGAGAAAATTTATAGGAAATCATATAAGGCAGTCTGTTGCATGTGTCTTAAACAGATATGCATATGTAATAGCACATCAAAATAATTTGTTTGACAGTAAACTCACCATGTTTATATTTACCACATAGACTTTTTAAAACATTTATAAAAAATTGTAGATTTAACATTTAACTGTAAGATTTATATCCAAATGAGTATATTTGTTTCATACCAAACTCACAGAACTTATGAATAGCACACAATTTGAGAATAATTACTCTGTTGGGTACTATTAAGTACTGCTACTTGATGACATAAGAATTATTAACAAATGTGCTATAAGCTATTATCATTCAACTTATTGCTAGTGCTTTTGAAAATTGTGGTTTATGTTTTGTTTCTTTGTAAAACATGTGCTATGAGCTTGCCCTGATAGTTAAGAAATCAGATGTTTCCAATTTTTTCTAATACTCACAATATTTCAGATCTGAATGTGTTGTCTTTTTAAGGACTGCTGAAGGATTTTCAGTCCTTTTGATATCGCCTACTCTGCCTTACATTAATACAAATCGATAGATTCATGCAACATACATGGCATACATGCAGGACACCATCTGTACGTCCATGCTCAATGCATGCTGTATTTCTTCAGACATTTTCATTTCAATAAGAATCAGATCATCCCATTCAATTTCATCTAATTGTTTTAACATGCAGTTCAACAGAGCTAACAGGCAGGTAGACATTATTTTCATGTTATAATTGAGCGTGCTCAAGCGACTGACTGAGATTTGGCAGTGTTGCAAATCAAGTAGAGACTGTATGAGTTTCCTCAAATACAGCAGCTCTCCCACTGCCCCTATGGCAGACTGTTTGGATTTATCTATGCTGTGTGCTGAGGACACAGATCAGGGTTTTAGAAATCCAGATTCTGCCTTCACCAATTTCAGGATACTGAGAAGCACCCTCTAAGGTGTGTAAGTAACTGTCAGGCATAAGAAATAGCATTATGAATTCTTCAGAAATTGATCTATAGCTGTGTGAAATAGACACACATGGAAATACAGTTACTGAAAACACTTGTATATTCGGCATAGATTTAATGGTCTGATTTTAGTAATACTTGAAAACTTTTCATAGTTAACAAACTAGTAAATGGTACTGAATTCTTAGAGAGCAGTAGGCTCATAAGTGAAACAATGGTAACACTTATTGTAACATGACACTATATTTTAACAAAGATTTAAACTTCTGGTACATAATTGCAGTACAGTGAAGAGCTTACCACTTTTACAAATTAGCTGCAGCCTTTTCCTGCACTAGAGAGTTTGGAAGGATCTAAAAATGAGATAAATTTTGTTTAACATCCAAATGGAAACTCTATATTTCTGTTATTTCTATAATTCAGTAACAATTTCTTTTTAGTTATTTTTTTTCACATTCTAAGGGCTTAATTCTGTAGTCCTTAATCAAGTGATGCTCCCAAGATTTTGATCATCTATGCTTCCAATGCAAATTTTACTCAAAAATGGACTACTAAATTAGGTCCTATAGATAGAGGTACCATAATTAAGAAATTGTTTTAATAAGGTTCAAAAATGGTAATTTCACTTTGTGTGTAGCATACAAATTTCCAGGATCCTGCGATCAATACCCAATAAATGTTGAATCCTGGATTGTGAAATAAATCTGAGCTCTCTTTCTCAGTTTAATTACGGAATTAGGTATCTACTAAGGACCAGAATGAAAACACTAATTTCAATTTGCTTGTAATTATAATTAGAATTTGAACATTGTCTTCAAGAAGTGAAAAGCTATTGGTGGATATATCTCGTATCATCCTTCCACTTCTGTAGTCCTGGTTAACCAGCTGCTATGTTAAAATATCACTATGTTTTGGAACAGACATTGCAGTAAAATACCAATGCAACATTCTGACAATGTCAAATTTTGCCCCATATGTGACAACAAAGCTGTTTTGCCTTTGACTCACTAATAGATGTGATAGAGTATATGTGGTAGAGTATCTTACTGTGTGTATGTGTGTAGATGATTACAGCACAGCAAGAATTTAAAGTGTTATATTTACTGTTAACCTGGAAAAAGATTTTGCTGAATTTATTAATTTTGGTGTGGGTGAAATATAACCATTGTCTTGTGCATCATTCTGGTCTCCTGCAAATGCCACCTGAGATGAACATTTCCTTATGCACAAAAGAAAGAGAAAGAAGACAGAGAGAAAGAGAAGGAGGGAGGAAAGGAAAGAGAAAAATCAGTACTTTATGCATCAAAGAATCAAAATAAGTTATTCTCATCTATTATAAACAGCAAATATAGGACCCTAAATCTCACTATTGTATGAATGATCATAAAATACAGGGTTGCAAAGCTATATACATAAAAAAACACTTTTTTTCCAGACTGCAATATTTACATTAGTTATGACCAACAGAAAAATAATAGATCATTTTCCTACATTTGTAGCTTTACTGTAGGAAAAGACTCTGCTGCTCTTTCTTACACATTACTAATCCTTTCACTAACTATATTGGAGGGATTGACTGGTAGCTCCAAATTCTCAACTTGCATCTCTATCTCGTGCTCATTGTCAATAGCTTTCTTTATCACTGGTTTATTGGTGTGCCGGTAAATGTTAACATTGAGCTCCCTCCCAGACAACACAGTGGCAGCAACTCTTGGCATATGCCTGACAGGAGGCTTTTTTTCTGCCTTATAATTGCAACGCAAGTAGTTGGAAAAAGCCCTTCGGTAAACTTTGTTGAAAAGAGTGTACACCAGAGGATTAATTCCTGAACAAACATAGCCAATCCAAACAAACACATTCAGAAGTTTTTCCATGAGCTTTTGATTACATGCTTTCCCACAAAGAACTGACAGAATATTGGTAATAAAAAACGGGCACCACATGATCAGAAACACAAAGAAAACAATGCCAAGGACTTTCGATGCTTTCCGTTCATTGTTGATAGCTTGCATGGTGCCCCGAGGACGTCTTTCTTTCTTCTTTCTTCCGCGTGGGTTCAAATCTTGGTTAGGGTTTACAGAGTTTTCATCGGTGGTTTTCTTGCAGCACTTCAGGAAATCCAGGCTTATTCCGGGTGGTTCCTCGGTGTGGCCGTGCAGTAACATCAGAGCTTGTCTGCGAAGAACGTGGATCGTCAGGCAGTACGTAATCACCATGATGGTCAGCGGTATGAAGAAAGCTACGAAGGACCCAATAAGAACGAAATTTGGGTCATTCAGCACGCAGGTGGTGTTACTGACAAACACTTTGTCTTCATCTCTCAGTCCAATCACTAGGATAGGAACTGATACGCCTGAATGAAAAAAGAAAAAGAAAAGAAGGTAGAACATTATTATAGCACACTGAAGGATTGAACAGAAATATATGCATTTGTGCAATGGCATATATTCAATTGCATTTTGATGAAGACAATTTAGAGTTCATATTTGTTGAAAGCCATTCACAGCATAAATTTATAGTCACATGATAGAGTAGCTGTACGGTATCAGAAAATGACAGCTTTCTTCAAGTTAGGAATGCCTGCTCTCCAAATTTCTGTAGAAGGCATGGAAGTACCATTATTGAGATAAGCTAGTATAGATATGGTTTGTGTAAGAGTGGATTGTGTCTTGTTTTATTTCCAGTTCACCAAAATATCCTGACCCATGGAAGGCACTCAATAAATATTTCTTGAATGGATAAATTTACATCTATACTCAATGACATTAACAAGTTCAGTTGTTCATTTTTAGCACATCACTTTCCAAATGCAATAAAAATGATGTGTATACCATCTTTAAGAGGAATAATAGCATATTGGTTTTGGCTGGTCTGAGTTTGAGATGAGTTTTTAGCTGATAACATCTGTTTCTACTCCCAATTTCCTGATGAAAGGGGTTAACAAGAAGAAATTTATGTGTGAGCCTATTGGAACAGGGCCTGTTTCCTCTGGAGTAACTGGAGATGGAGAGAACAGTATGGCCCTCCAAAGAGCTTGCTACAGGGACTCCACCTGACCACTATGCAGAAATATTCTACAAGTAGAAACTGAAAGGACTCTTTTTATTTCAGTAAGAGTTTTTGTGAGACTTTGGGCATAAACATCTTTTCAAGATCAAGAGACAGAGTGAAATGGAGAGTTGGGAGAGATGCAGTCCTCTCATTTTTAAAGAATACTGAGAGGTAGTACTCTAAGTAAGCACCTCCATTAATAAATAGGCTCACAGGCAGAAAATATCAACAAGGTGGGAGCAGAAGGTGACTTGTACCTGAGCATAAGTAAGAAACATGGAAATTTTCAGAAATCACTATGGTAGATCTTGAAAAGGTCGTACATCAATAAGTAGGTATTACTTGTGAGTGAAATTCAAATTTTAATGTTTATTTATTATCTCTAATATACACAGGAAGCTGAAGCCTAAGAACAATTAGATTGCATTTTTTAAGATTTTATTGGAGATTATTATTAGGAATCCTGGGCTGATGGATATCTACACTATAGGAAGAGATAGAAATGTACTCTCAGAGAACATTCCTGGCTTTAGAGAATACTTAGGGAACTGTGACAAATTTGAAACTGAAAGTCCATACAAGTTGCGTAAACACATTGCATCAGGTATAGAGTGACTGAAGATGAAGA